TCATCTACAGATGACTGTATGTCCATGAGAAGAGTTGTCATATGGACAGCATTAGTAAGTATTTGCTCTGTTGGTTTTTTAACTGTGTTGATGTTGTGGAAATCATCCATGCATAGTATTTGAAAGGATTTCTGCTAAGCCAAAGCAGAAAATAAAATTATTCAGGGGTAGGAGTTTTCTGCAGGAAAATCCAGGTATAAAACAATATATGTATGTAGACATGTATTTTCACAAATTTTAATTACTCTTTGAATTGCTTGGCAAACCATGTATTCTGCCCTCTCCAGATGACTAGATGCAATACTGTGTCTCTTCTGAGTGTTAGTTTTCCCATCATCCCTTGCAAATCTAGATGCAATACTGTGCAATACTAGATGCCATACTGTGTCTCTTCTGAGTGTTAGTTTTCCCATCATCCCTTGCAAATCCTAACACTTTTCCAGGAGCCATTCCACTGGATTGGAGGCCATGCAGCTCTAAGAGGATCGAACTTTCGTCCAGGAATTCATCATGTCTCTGATTTCTGATTATCAGACCAAATAGGTTTTACACATTTGATCACTTAGAAACACACATTAATAGTTGAACCGAGATGCATAAATCTAAAAGCAATGCTAGGCAAGGAAGTGAAAGGAAGCACAGTGGAGTTGGAGGAGCTAGGCTTACACCCAAATATTTTGAATCCATATTTTTGCCACCACCACCCCGCTACCTTCAAAATTTTGCTTTGTAACACATGCAGGCATTTTTCATTGAAGTAACTTCCAACTGTCTTTCAATTTATAGTGTCCAGGGGATTGTCTGTCAAGTTAATATGTTTCTTGTTTTACTTTTTTAAAAGATTTAATTAATAAAGCTGTATTGTTCATAAAATTATCATTTTTGTATTGCGTCTTGTTTTGTAATTTCCTGTAAAAAAAAATTAGAATTTGGTTTCATATAATATAAGTACCAGTGTGGCCTATATCTAAAAATACCTGTAATATAGTAGCTGCCATATAACAGCTGTTGCCCTTTGCTCCTGCAGGTCTGCTCTTTTTTCCCCATGATGTTCAGAGAGAATACTGTCAAGGATGATCTTAAACAGTTTTGGGGAATTTGATTCTATGAATTCTTTAAAAACTGGCTGGCTTACAAGTCTCTGCGGATCTGAGCATTTTTCCATTTTTTTGCCTAGAGTTTGTAGGAGGTCTTTGAATGTTGGTTCTGTTAGAGATAAATACAATTTAGGTTCAATCAAAATTGTAGTATTAGTGCTATTACAGTGTGTCTTCTACGTAAAAAAAAGAGCTTCATAAAGGATGAGATTGTTAGTTTACCATTTAACTTCTCCTGAATGCATTTCCAAGTTGATGCCTCCAGCATAATGTCCCCATCCTGACCAACTAACATGTCACCAAACTGTCCTTCAACAATCCTCCAGTAATCAGGATTTTGCAGCTGTGACACAGAAAGGGATGAGCTGTTTGTGGCTTTTTTATCGTAGTAAACATTCTTTTTCTTCAAAACCACATGTAGTATTTTCATTATGGTGTAACATGCTGTAATTCTAAGATCTACATAGTACCATTGATTATTATACCAAACAATGTTTACAGTTAAGAGTGTACCTCGGAGGTAAATTGTTGACTAGCTTCAAAATCCATCTCTTCAGTTTCTTGACATACCTGTTACAATAGTGTTACAATGAAGGTGAGAATAGAGGTACATGCAAAGAAAATGGCCCATTGAAACAGAAAAATTGTGTATGTGTAACTGTGGCAGTTCACATAATACATTGAG